TTCCCTTACTTTTAGTGTATCCTTAACCGTATCCTCCCTCCCCTTCGCTGCCTTCCTCTCTCCCCTCTACCATCAATTTAAGTTAAACCCTCTTTTATTCAAAATTTCACTTCCTAATCTCTCAAAATGTCAATATCAACTGAATAAACGCCCTTCCGCTCTCTACCTAATACTTATTTCACTTCCACGTCTCTTACTATCAATGTTTGTTTTTCCTTTTTTCTACGCACTCCATACTTCACAAATTGTTCTTAAGTGTGGCATTTTCAAAGTATCGTTTGGCTTCATCATTTTGCATTCAGAGGCCATACTTTACATTCTTGCAACAATGTCGTTTTACTATTCCTCTGAGCAACCTCGTGTTTTCCTCCTTTGCCACGATTATCCTTCTCCTTACATTTATTAATCCACTCACCATTTTTCTTCAACTACACTGCGTTTCATCCCTCATTCTTCCATTTGCTAACACATCCATTCTGAATATCTGAAACAATCCACTTTTTATCATTGTGTTTCCATTCAAGCCAACGTTTATTATTTATCTTTATTCTCTATTTATTTTCAGTAATTTGATTTTCTTTACATTCACTATCAACTATCGCCAAACTTGTTCATTTTCTGCTATATCACTCACTAGAACAGTTGCGTCTACAAACAGTAGCAAATGTATCCCCTATTTACGGCTGTTTCAATACTTACCAAACTTACTCTTCTCTCCTTCACACCCATTTACACCTCTCTTGCTGTACTATCCATGGAATTTTAACAGCTAAAATCGTTTACGTAGTTCTACTTTTACTGATAATTATATTCAATTTCCCTCTTCCTGACAAATCTTAATGCATATTTCCCACCCTTAAACAAATTCTGGATGGTATTCAGCAATTTCTCATATCACCATATCCATTTACTTACAGGATTTCCAGTGGACTGTGCTCAGAGTATCTAATAGCAAACTTTGTTACACTTAGGGATATGAACCGGCAAGGGACTAGAGGCAGTGAACATAATTTTATGGTGGTCCCCTCGGTCAAGCGAAAATCACTTTCTTTTTCACAGCTATAGCGAATTGAAACAAGTTACCTAACCACATCGAGATCAGGAATGGTATCAAACAGTTCAATGCTAAAGTTAATAATAATAATAATAATAATAATAATAATAATTAACGGTTTATTGAAAGAGCTTGGCAGCCAGAAGGCTGAAAATATACAGTTACATATTTGGGGAATGGGTTACGAATTACAGATAATATACAAGTAACATAAGTGACACAAATAAGACATATAATAACTTAGATGGGGAAAAGCTCAAACTACAGTTCATTTCAACATAGTGACAGTGTAAGGAGCAGTGTTTACTGGGAGTGAATACACTGATTTATTACAAGTTATTGATAATTTTTACAATAGGTGAAGCCATAGTAAGTGAGCGCATAACATCAACCACTGAATGTTGTATTTGAAGTGGAAATGATCTGCCAACCTCAAACAGTTCAAGTGTAATATAATGCGAATTGAATTTATCAGAAAACCTTTCACTATTACTCGTGTTGGTATAGCCTACTATTCCTGTTTAAAGACCAAGCCTAAGCCTAAGCAAATGATTCTCCTGGAAATAAGCACCTCATAGCTTTGACGACTATTCTTGGTCACGTTACCTTACTATTTACCATTGTTGTTTACCTGCACTGTCTCTGCACACAGGAAACTGCAGTGTAGGTCTACTTCCCTGGCTTACAGGTACAGTATACCTACATTAACTATATTCATTCTGAACTGTATATCTGCAATGTTTATATACATACCTATCTACTTATAAACCTGTATTATAATTTGACTACACACACACACACACACACACACACACACACACACACACACACACACACACACACACACACACACACACACACACACACACACACACACACACACACACACACACACACACACACACACACACACACACACACACACACACACACACACACACACACACACACACACATTACGGCCAATACTTATTATTATTATTATTTACATATTATTATTATTATTATTATTATTATTATTATTATGGACAACCAGCCAGAATTTCCGGAATTATTACTTTCAGAATGTGTAATGCGTCAAATGATCGCAGTGTCATCCACCTGTGGACCTCCTGAGTGGATATTATTGGTGATAATTAATGGAGAACCGGGGACTGAATAGCAGGTGGCGCTGGTATATCAGTGCCACGTAGGCTGTGGCATATTACCTGAGCTGGTCAGTGGTGGTAACGGTCCTTCCTGCCTTGTTCTCAGCCCAGGTCTGCTCCTGGCTCCCTGCCCAGCCCTGCTCAGCTCCCCCCTCCTCCCCACAACCTCCCGCCACGGGTCTGCCCTGTCGCACACCTCCTTTTCCAGGACGGCAACATGGCTGGGAAATGTGCCTGTCAGTACCAGGCTGAATAAAAAATGCACAAAATAGTATTTGTGTGAGAAGTAACACATGATGTGTGGGTTGTAGAAAAAGGGACCAGCTGTCAAATCCCTACAGCATCCATCACCCACGACGCCAAGTGTCAGGACGACGTAGTGAACTCACCAGTCGGAAAACACTGTTCATAAGGTGAATGACATACATCAATAAATTGGAAAAGCTTGTCGGGGAACGATGCGGAAAAGTGGGTCAAAAAAGTCTACTCAGAACTGTGACACCAAATGAAATGATCCGGGAGACACTGCCCTCGCCGCAAAACATAATTAAACCTGTTAGACAGTAATCTTGGCCCCATTAGCTCTTTCAAATACTGGCCATAATACTCCATCTATTTTGTCAGGGGGACACACGCAAGTGTCTAGGGCCAAAGAAAATGTGGCAGCAATGAAAAGGAGATTGACACTGTGGCAGATGATCTAC